TAGGTATTTCCTCAAATATATGGCGATCATCGTACAAGGCTTACTGCATATTGGAGTGTGAGTAATAATCTTGTCTATATTTATTTATTGCAATAAAGTAGGAAACTTTTTTTGGTGCAACACTTCTGGTTAAGCACCACTAAAGGGTCGTTCTTTCTATAGTATGTAGATATGAGTTTTTCTTCTCTAACCACAAATAATTCTGCAGCCAGAAAATCATGACGTTGGGTGCTACAATGTACTATGTAAGGGTTTCGTTCAAATCCACTCGAGAATCTTTCTTGGTAGTCCATTTAAGAACATTTCTGTGGTGGGAGGCCAACAATATAACACCCGCCTCGCAATCTATCAGGTATAAAAATAGGTTTTTGGGTTAAGTGAAATTTTTAGTTTGATATTCATTCCATCGTGTTTTCGATAAAACAATAGGGTGTTCATTGTTCGATGGAAGAATTAATTGATCTGAAAACTAATGAGAAAATCCAAATGAATATTTTTTTTTTAAAACCTCAGATTTCCTTGGAATTATTTGAAGTTCAAGTTATACTTGATAAGTAAAAACGAAATCAAAATTAATTCAATTTGGTGGCTACTATTATTAAAACCGATAAACCTCAACCCAAATTTGGATTAAACACTACTAGATCAAACTTGCGAGATCTCTTACTAGATTCATATATTTTTAATTTACCAAAATAAAAACTTCATTAATTTTTGTGTTCTTTTGTTACCAATAGAAACGACAACTAGTCTCAATTTGGTGAATATTATTTCTCGATCAAACTGAAATAAAACTTGTGAGATGTCTTATTAGATGTGTATATACACTTCATTAATTTTTGTGTTTTTTTGAATGGACATAAATGGTTCTATAACGAAAAATTGGTTGTTAACAATCGGAAAGTTCTACCTAGGATATTGGCCAGGGCAACTTTTACCGTATTTAACCGAAGGAGCAAGGAATGTTCGTTACGGTGGATTCACAGTTGCTCGTAATGATAATTTGGAAGCCTATGATATTGTTAGCCCTCCGATGGGAAACGAAAATAAACCATTAGATGATGAAGTGAATCTAAAGCATACTTGTTACATGCATTTTGTGAAACATGTGACACAGGATTATCGAAGTGTCGACATTGATTCCAACAAAATTGGGGAGAATGCCGACTACGTGAAATGTTACGATCTGAATTATCTTCATTATTGGGGGTCTCGTCATCGCCAAACTTTCACATTTGGTGGACCAGGTGGTTTATGTGATGTATGACCTTTGTTTTGATGATATTTTATCTTGTTTCAATATATCTAATATTATTCAATAAAATCATATTTTGAATTCTTGATTTCCAAATCTATTTCTGAATATGTATTTTTCCTTTGAAATATTACTGTTAATCGGAAGAATGCTAGACTGAACCCCGTACTAATCCTCTAAACTGTATAGAAAACTGGATTTTTGTCACGGAAGTTGTCTATGAATGGCCAAGTTAATTAGTATAAGCCAGAACATATGGACATCAAAATTAAATATCTTCAAAATTAAACATCAAAATTAAATATGGACATCAAAATTGAATGGCCAATTTCTTTTATCAAAAGATTCAAAAATAATTTATCAATAATATGGTTATGGTTGACGTATTGTATCAAGAATGATTTTTTTTTTGGTTTTTCTTTGAATGAAAATTTTCTACTTGTGTACGTCTCTTCTTCTCTTTTCATGTACTATTTCTTCCTATTTTTATAACTTTCAGTTCTCTCTCTTTAAACTTATACACGCACATCCTTCGATTACATACATCA